GAATTCAACTTTTCATTCCCGCACAAAGCACATTGATACACAGTATCACTGGATCCGAGGAGCTCTAGAAGAAAAATGCATACATCTTGACAAGGTTCACACAGATGAAAACTGGTCAGACATGATGATCAAGGCAATATCATCCAAGAAGTTTGAAGATTGCTGTCAAGGTGCTGGTTTACTACTACCTCCCAATTAAGTCGGGAGGGGGAGATTTGTTGGGATCCCTCCTTAATTGGGAAGCTTCTAGAAAATTCTAGAACTTACTGGAGAACTCTAGAGAAGTGTAGAATTCTCTAGAAGCGTGTGGAATCCTCTAGAATATTCTAGAGATGTGTTGAGCCTTCTGGAACATTCTGGAAAAGTATGGAATAGAATGGAGGAGTGTAGAGATTCCTTAGAAATCTCTAGAAAGTAAAGATATGTGTGAAGAATTATAGAGAGCTAATCTCCACCCTTGGATCAAATTAATCCCCATCACTCATTATGAAGGTGGAGTAGTATAAATAGGGGTGGAAGCCTTCATTCCTATCCATCCAAGACAAGAAAACAATCAACTTCCTAGAGTGAGAGAAAACCTCTAATATAGAGAGTTAGAGAGCCTATTTGAGAGAGAAGTGAGATAGCTTGAGAGTACTAATCCTCAAGCTCGAGTGAGCCACCGAAGTGAGACGGTTTTGTCAAACATAAATTCTTGTAATCCTACTATTCTTTTGTATAGTGAAAGAACCTTCATATTTGAGGACCATAAACTCTTGTGCTCCCATTACTATCTTAATTTATAAGTGCATATCTTTACTTCATGAGGCGGGAAAGACCGAGTTTTCCCAACATGGGCATTTGACATTTTTCACGAGGGGAAGATGCGTACATTTATAAATTCAGAAGGCTAGAAGCATTTTTTTCTTCTCTTTAATTTATAAGGAATTCCTCTTAATTGAATTTTGTTACTTGTTATTAACTATGATGGTTGGGCTAGTTTTGGCATTGTTTTTTTTAATGGGTTTTTTAAAGAAGTTTTTGCATGCTTATTGAAATTGTTTCTGTTTTTAAAGGATGCTTTTAGAAACATTCTGTTGATTGCTTTTGAAAGCAGCTTTAGTTTATTATTGTTGTTTTTTTAATTTCTATATCATGATTAGTATTTAAACAAATTTTTTCAAATACCAATAAATCATGAGGCTAAATTTATGTATCTTTTGGTTCCCATTTATAATGATATTTAAGCACAATTTTACCTAACACATTTATTGTTTTTGGAAGCATCTTTTGATATATATTTACTAAACATTTTCTTTCAGCAACTTATATAAGTTACTTCTATAAACTATTTATATAAGCAACTTATTCTAAGCTTCCTCAATTTCAAACTTGCCCTTGGGGCCTAAGGCTTAGGCCCTTTTCTTGTAGGATTCACCCTCAATGTGAGTCATTTTAATCCTTACGCGAGAATGTATAAGCCTCTAGACATTCTTGCCGACAACTTTTTCCTATTTTTTTGTCCATAGTTTTCTTGCAAAAACATATCACAACCCTAATGTCTTCAGCTGCTCATTTTGATTGATCCTCGACGCCACGTGGGCCGACCAAAAGGTGGGGGCCAATGAGATAGTTCCAGCAGGGCACCAAACATATCTCATGCACATCAATGTTTAGGCCACCATTTTAATTTACTAAACTTACAAGATAACATAAATTTCCAAGGTAGGTTCTTAGTTTATGGAATAAAATATAATGTTCAAAATATGTTGGAGGGTAGACTTAATCTCCTAGTCCTCATACCATTACGAAATATGGTTAGTGACAGATACATTAAAGTTTGTAAAACACAATTATACAATTATATTTAAATCTAATTGGTTGAATCGCGCTATTTTAAAAGCTAATCATAGGCAAAAAAAAATTTTAATATTGTGATCGATTAACCATTGATTGAAGCCTAGGTATACAAAATTTTGGTATGTCAGACTAATTTTTTTCAACATATATCTAGAATGAGGAGAGGAACTAATTGATTATTATGAAGGGATAATTTAAGATTATCAAGGTGAGAATACATACTCATATGTATGGCTAGGTGGAATATCTAATAGTCTTACATAATGTTATGAAAAAAAGAAAGTACTGAGTTAAAAATACAGCAGAACCGTAGCTAGATTCAAAATAAAATAAAATATTTCCTATTTTCCCTCAAACTTGTATCATTTTCTTTCTAGAAAAAAAAGAAGTTGTAAACTCTGCGACAAAATATAACTCAACAGCTCAACACACGTAGTAGTATTGACTCGAAGGACCAATTTCTCCCATCAAAGCACCTGATTTCATAGAACGAAGACTGAAGCGAATTCAAAGCGCTAGCTAGCCTATCATTAAGACTTTAAAGGGCAAAAACAGAAGAAAATATGAAAACAAGCTCACTTGCAATGTTTTCGGTGGTGTGGTTCGTTGAACACTCAGATTCTGGTCGGCAAGAAATTAGTTGGAGAACATGATGGTCTAATGTTTTATGCTCTTAATATGAGCAAGTGGGCGGCTAATGTGAAGACTAGAGAGACAGGGGACGGGTAAAGTTTGCCATTTGAAAGAGACTCATGTTTACAAATGCAGTTTACAACTTTCTTAGGGGGCGTTAGTCAATTGGGACATTTTTATCCAAAATGGGATAATTGTTAAAGTGGAATAATTTTTCGCTAGTGGGATATTTTAGCGGGATAAATAGGAACAATTTTGTGAAACGGGATATTTTGATAAAATAACGTGGGATAATTTTTTATAATCATGAAATATATATTTATGCATTTTGAAGATATATGTACTATTTATGTATTTTAAACTTACTATTATTGATTGATAATTGCTTACAAGAATGTTCTTTACTATTAAATAACTTTTAAACTTACTATTATTGATTGATAATTGCTTACAAGAATGTTCTTTACTATTAAATAACTTTTGGTTAGACTATTACAAGAATGTTCTTTACTATTAAATAACTTTTGGTTAGACTATAAGATATTGACAATTATTATTATTATTATTATGATGGTCTAATGATGGCGATAACCATAATAGGAAAGAAGTAAAGAAAAAAATATAAAAAATAACAAAATAAATATGAGTTCTAGTTTTAAGTGACTAACCCTCCTTAGGAGATTGATCTGGCGTTCGGGAGAGTTTATTTTTTTGTTAAAGTAGCTTTTAAGCTAGTTTTTTTCATAACTGTGTGTTTGGTAGCTTTTAAGTCCCATTTAAAAAAAATTTGTTATCCACTAATTTTTAAAAATAGTAGTTCATAAGCTCATCTAAGTAAGCTAGGTCTGACCACTTAAATGACTACTCTATCCATAAAATGTTTATTGTAAAAACCAAAACTACTAAAAACCAGCATAACTTTATATAAGCTATAAAAAAAATAAGCCCTCCGAATATTGGCTTGGTAATAAATATTTTTCAGGGTTGCTGTAAACAGTTTGGAGAAATTTTTACAATAAAGACTTGATCAAATCGATTAAACAACAGTGGATGATAGCTAGGGTGAATTAGACGTTTCAAAATTCTACGTATAATTGGGGTCAACTACGATTTATAAATCATTTATGATGAATGAGAATGAAATTCATTGCTCTTGGCTACGATTGGTCATCTTAATATATATCTCCTTTTATGCACCAATGAAATAAATAGTCTTGAAAAGAATGTTGCCGGCTATAAAAAGTATATAAGGTAAAACGTAGGAAATTCTAGTTGACTATATACCTTCAAATTTTATTCTAATTTTATTTAGACACAAGTAACACATTAATGAAAATAGTATTCAATCTCTCCGCTCTAATTTTTATTTTTGTTTGACAGACTCCATCCTAAGGTACTACTTCAAATTTTTAATTATCAAATGAGAATATTCAAACTTGAAATACAATTAGTGTGTTATCAATGCTATGAAATTTTATTCAAACTTATGAAAATTTGGAACTACTTTCATTTTTTAAGCCCAGCACCTGAAGTCAAAATTACTGCAATTAGCGTATAAGTAGTCGTATCTGGATCTAAGTTGCTAGTTGCTACATCTATTTAATAAACTAACAAAGTATATTCGGTTAAAGATGCTATTGTTGAGTTAACAATTAATTGGGGTTTTTACATGTATATACCCCTAAATTTTTGATATTTGCAAAATTTCCCTCATATCTTGATATTTGCAAATTTTGCTCCACAAATCTTTCGCATCGATTTCTTCTTCCCCTTCTATTTACTAATTTTAGTTTTTAAACCAGAAATCTGTTGGAACTTTTTGACATTACCTCATTTAGAAGGTAATATTCTCAGGATGGAGTCGTAGAAAGATTCAATATACAAGTTTTAAGGGGTATTTTTGCAAATATCAAGATTTTAGGGGTGATTATTTAATATTAAAAGTTGTCGGGGGTATATATACAAAAACCTCAAAATTAATTAAGTCTGGGTTTTAAAATAAACAGCTGTAAAACTTTGCGTTTAAATTAAAACGGTTTTTCTATAGAGTGCCATTGGGCACTCTATAAGAGAGGAGAGAGATAGAGAGAAATGAATGAGGAGACGCATCAGCTTCTTTAGTTGGTCTCGTGACCTGAGCAACATACGACATTCAAAACCCTAGGGTCAACACCGGACAACGCGTAACCTTAGATCAACGCCAGTCAACGCGTTGCGATCAAAAAGTCAACGTACGACGGTCAAAACCCCAGGGTCAACGCCGGTCATTCATTTCTCTCTATCTCTCTCCTCTCTTATAGAGTGCCCAAGGGCACTCTATAGAAAAACCGAAATTAAAAACCATGAAAAAAATGCCTCCGCGTCTATCATGGGCCACACCACCATCACGCTGACGTTGCCGTCCAAACAACTCGAATCTTATCATCGTCACTGACCGCCACGTGTCCTTCAACCTCCAGGGGCATTTTCGTCAACAAAACATATAAATACGACCCCCAGCGGCCTCCTCCTTCCCTTAAAAAAAAAACTCTTCAGGATCTCCGCCCGAATTTTTTGCTCCGTTTTATTCGGCGGATGACGAAGGTTTACCCGAACGCTCCCTCGGCCGAATCTCCGTCCACTCCGCCGTCAGATTTGACGGCGGACAAGGAGGAGGTGATGACGGTGTGGAGAAAGTCGCTGCTTTTCAACTGCCAGGGGTTCACGGTGTTCGACGGAGAAGGGAATCTCCGTTTCCGGGTGGATAGTTACTCCGGAGGGCGAAATGACGAGATTGTCCTCATGGATTCTTGTGGAAAGCCCCTCTTTAGTATTAGAAGAAAGGTAATTTTTTCTTGAAATTTTGATTGTTTTAAATGATTTTTTTTTTTGTTAGATTTGAAACTTGGGATCCTAGATAGTTAGTTTTTATCTGCCAAGATTCTGTTTTTGTTTGATTTTTGTTAATAATATAAATTTTAAAGTGGAAATAGATTATTTTGTGCCGCAGAAGAGATCCTATCAGAATACCTTAAATAGTAGAGTTGTAATTCCAAAAATAACCCTCTAACAATATGTGAAGTATATAGGCCACTCTAAGGAATCTGTGAAGGTTCGATGTGTGTTTGATTTGGAGTAGGTTCGATGTGTGTTTGATTTGGAGTAGTCAGAACCACAACATGCGATAGGAACAGCTCTTGTTCGAATTGTCGAAATACTCTTCGAATTTCACTCATAAGCAACTCTCTATATTTCGATCTTTTCCATTTTACTTTCGTAATAACTTTTTGGTGTTCTAACGACATCAAACTTGACGCGACAACGATATTAGATCAAAATATGTTATTAGAAGTTTAGAGAACGCTCCATTAATTGAAGAAATGTTCGATCTAACTCGTGGTCTGATAACGTTATGCAGAGACTGAGTCTAACCGAGACCTGGCTAATCTACGACAAGGAAGAGACGGTCGAGCCCCTCTCTTCGGTAAAGAAGCACGTGACCCTCCTCCCCTCCAAAGGGCTCGCTCACGTGACCCCTTGCCGTCCACGTAGCCCTCACTCGTATTCCGTCGAGGGCTCGTATGCGCAGCGTAGCTGTACGGTCTACGACGGCCAACGGAACACAGTGGCGGAAATACGAAGAAAGGAGGCCCCTAAAGGCGTTGCCCTCGGTGGCGACGTATTTCGCCTCGTGGTTCAGCCGGGGGTAGATTTGTCATTTAACATGGCGATGGTCATCGTGTTGGAACAGATGTACGGATCGTAGATGGTAGAGATACGGTGTATACCAAGGGCGTGCAGAGAGAGGCTGTACATGTATGTGCATCTTGAATCATGTGGTTGGAAGAATTTTTTTTTTTTTTTTTTTGTTTTTACATGTGGTTGGAAGAATTTTTTTTTTTTTTTTTTGGTCTTTTTTGTCTATGCATTCTAGGTTGTTGGATGTATAGATTGGAGATTAAGACATCTCTTTTTCTTTATCTTTTTTTTTTCCTTCTTAAGGTTCAGTACATTTTGCATTGACTGATAGTACATTTATTTGCTCTTGATGTTAACTTATCCTCAAACGCTGAAAGTTCGCTGAAAGTTCAAAGGGTTTACTGTAATTTATCTAAAATATAACTTATACTCAAGTTGCAAGTATTGAATGGAACTTGCACGCTAAGGGCCTGTTTGGATGGACGTAACTATTAGAAGTAAGAAGTGGATCGAAGATGTAGCTTCCTCAATTGTGATGTAGAAAGTAACAGAAATAGTATCTATTTTGTTTGTTTCATATATTTTTAGAAGTAGCGGAAATAGTACTTCATCATCTTCTTTTATTTATTTGTATTTTTAGAAGTAGCGGAAATAGTACTTCATCATCTTCTTTTATTTATTTGTTTGTTTGGATAGAAATTGGATATATTATCATCTTCTTTTATTTATTTGTTTGTTTGGATAGAAATTGGATATATTATTTAAGATCATCTGCCCTTGGTGAATCTCTAATTTAATTGGACACCACTTTTTATCCACTTCCCCTCTACTTCTGAGCTTTCAAGGGCGAAAAAAAAATCTAGGAAGTAGAAGTGTCACCTAGACGCCACATCTGCATTTATGGAAGTAGCTGAAGTAGTCTTTTCGAAGAAACAAATATAATTTTTTGCTTGAAGTAGGAGAAACTTTCTCTACTTCAGTTACTTCTTTACTACTTCCGTACAAACAAACAGACCCTAAGTTGAACACAAAATCAGGTCTTAACAGTTATTATTTATTTCTTAGAGGAAAAACAAAAAGACATATTTGGCCTCAAGCTTGTCACTCTCTATGACCTAACAAGTCCTGCTACTGAACCAGCAAGCACGAATATTGATGCGTGTCGTATTAACTCTTTGACGCTGTGTGTTCTAAAGAGAGTGGTGTCTTTTTGGCTGTTGGTTGTCCAAATCAGCGGTTTCTTAGCTGTTGGCTTCACACCTGACTTCATTTGTGCTCTTCGCCTGGAAAAAAATGCATCTTTTTGCTAAGGAAAATATCTAATAAAGAATGTTACATACATCTGAAACTAATTCTATTTTTCCTATTTTAAGGGGTTGTTTGGTTGATGTATTTGGCATTGGAGGTTGGGCAGAAAGCCTGCAAAAATAGCACTTTTGGCAGGCTTTCTGCCCAACCCCCAATGCCAAATACATCAACCAAACAACCCCTAAGTTCCTTTTCCTTGTTTGCCAATACGTGCTACATGGGCCGCAATAAATGAGAAAAGAAATCTATAGCTCTCTAAGGCCCTGTTTGGTTTGAAGGGAAATGAAGGAAAGGAAAAGAAAGTGTAATAGAAAGTAATTTTTCTGTGTTTGGTTTGGAAAAAAATGAGAAAGAAAGTGAATCTTAAAATCACTGTAGAAAGACACCTATATACCCGGTTCTTTTCCCCTTTCCTAACTTGATCGGAGTGAAAATGAGAGAGAGGGAGAGAAAATCCCATTCGATGCCTCCTTCAAAATTCCCGACTCCATTCCCGACCTAGGCGTCTGTTAGGATATGTGAAGAAGCCTAACTATCAGGCATGCCCTACATTTCAGAAGAGAGGAGAAACAAAGTTGGAACAGGATCGACGATGAAGAAGTTCAAGCAAAACGACGAAGGAGAGATTTGGCAGCTTTGCGGTCGACCGGCCATGGCGCGGCGGTCGACCGTCTACGTGCACAGCTGGGTGCACAGGCCAGGAGCTCGTCGCGGTCGACCGTCTGTGGCGCTGCGGTCGACCGCTCAAAGTCCAGAGAGCAATCAAGAGTTTTGTCTTCGTCGCGGTCGACCGCACATGGCGCTGCGGTCGACCGCCCAAAGTCCAGAGAGCTCGATCAGGAATAGGATTCGTCGCGGTCGACCGCACGTGGTGCTGCGGTCGACCGGAGTCGGGTTTTGGCTCAGATTCGTTTTTTAACCTGATTTGATCTGTTTACTTGTTAAACCCTTAAGTCTATAAAAAGGTTGATTAGGGCATGATGTAAAGAGACGAAAAAGAGTGAATTTTTCTCCTGCGGCGGCCGTGGACGTAGTTTCTCACATTGAGAAGCGAACCACGTAAATCTTGTGTGTTTGAGACTGTTTGATTTTCTCTCTTCTCTCCTAAATCTCTATTTCCAAATCGCATCAGGGGGGTTGTGCATCCCCAACAAGTGGTATCAGAGCCAGGTTCGGCGCGAGCGATTTGAGGTCAGAGACAATGGGATCTGAGAAGGAAACATCCAAGATTGAGAAGTTTGATGGAACAAACTTCGGGTTCTGGAAGATGCAGATGGAGGACTACCTCTATCAGAAGGATTTATACCTACCATTGGGAGAGAAGCCGACGGATATGAAAGATGCGGAGAGTTTAACGAGATTACGGATCAACTAAACTCGGTCAATATTCAGTTTGACGATGAAATCCAAGCCCTCTTGATACTTGGTCAATTGCCCGACAGTTGGAAGGGCACCGTTATCTCGATCAGTGGATCATGTGGCAAATCAAAGCTAAAGTTTTCAGAGGTGGTGGACATGATTATGACTGAGGAAATAAGAAGACAAGAGGAAGGGATTTTTAATTCAGGGTCGGCGTTGAATCTTGAAGGCAGAGGAAGAAACAGAAACAGAAATAGAGGGAGTAGCCGAGGAAGATCTAACTCGAGGAACGGAAGGCCAAAGTCCAGGAACCGCAAGGGCAAGAAGGAGATAGACTGCTGGAATTATGGCAAGTTTGGCCACTATGAAAATCAGTGCCGAGAACCCAAGAAAGACAAGGAGAACAAGACTGAAGCGAACGTGGCCTCAGGAGAATCAGATGATGCCCTAATCTGTTCGTTGGAGAGCAAAACTGAATCATGGGTACTGGATTCAGGAGCTTCGTTTCATGTCACCTCAAATAGAGATTTATTTGAGAACTATGTTTCAGGAAACCTAGGAAAAGTCTATCTTGGTGATGATCAGCCCTGTGATATCGTTGGCAAAGGAGGCGTGCAGATCAAGCTCAATGGGTCTATATGGAAGCTGAGCGATGTGAGACATGTTCCTAGCTTGAGGAAAAATCTGATCTCCATAGGACAATTGGCGAAAGAGGGATACGTATCAACCTTTGCATGTGATACATAGAAGGTTACAAAGGGATCCATGGTTGTTGCCCGTGGTACAAAGACGGGATCTCTCTACATGACGATAGATGCACGAGGCTCCATTGCAGTGGCTGAAGGCAGTGAAGACCCAAATTTGTGGCACCAGAGGTTAGGTCACATGAGTAGCAAAGGCCTAAAGGTTATGCAATCGAACGGGAAGTTACCAGGTTTGAGATCGGCTGAAATTGACCTATGTGAAAGCTGCATTCTAGGGAAACAAAAGAGAATAAGCTTCAAAAGGGTTGGCAGAACTCCTAAAGAAGAGAAGATTGAGTTAGTTCACACAGATGTGTGGGGCCCAGCATCAGTTCCATCCACCGACGGAAGGTTATATTTCGTGACCTTTATAGATGATCACTCGAGGAAGACTTGGGTCTATTTCATGAAACATAAATCAGAAGTGTTTGAAGTCTTCAAGAGATGGAAGGCTATGGTTGAGAACAAGACCGGTTTGAAGATCAAGAAGCTTCGTTCTGACAACGGCGGCGAGTATGAAGACTCAGATTTTAAGAAGTTCTGTTATGACAGCGGCATTAGATTAGAGAGGACAGTGCCAGGTACACCCCCAACAGAATGGCATAGCAGAACGCATGAACAGAACCTTGACTGAGAGAGCCAGAAGTATGCGGTTACAAGCAGGTTTTCCAAAGTAATTCTGGGCAGAAGCAGTCAACACAGCTGCCTACTTGATCAACCGGGGACCATCAGTGCCTTTGGAGCACAAAATACCTGAAGAAGTATGGAGTGGAAAGCAGGTAAACCTTTCTCACCTGAGAGTATTTGGATGTGTTTCATATGTACATCTGAGTGATCATGCTAGAAGCAAACTCGATCCTAAGTCCTTAAAATGTTTCTTTGTTGGCTATGACGGCGATGAGTTTGGCTACAAGTTCTGGCATGAGCAGAACAAGAAAATCATCAGAAGCAGGGATGTGGTCTTTAATGAAACAGTCCTCTACAAAGATCGTGATGCCGTTCAGCCCACTAGTACGATGCAGAGTGATCCTACATATTTTGAGTCAGATGATGCCTCAGATGGAGACAATCCCGAAGCGAGTTCTGATGAAGAAGAAGAGATGATGGATGAGACCACCTCAGAGGGGGCAGATGAAGTTGGAGAGCCAGTTTCGCCCGTCAGAGAGTTGAGGCGGTCAGCTAGAGTCCCCAAGCCAAATCCAAAGTATCCATCACTACAGCCCAGAGCTCATCTCAACTACCTATTGTTGAGTGACGGTGGAGAGCCAGAAAGTTATGATGAGGCCCTCCGAGTGGATGATGCGAGCAAGTGGGAGTTTGCTATGAAAGATGAAATAAAATCCTTGAACACCAACAAGACATGGGAACTTGCGAAGCTACCAACGGGAAAAAAAGCCTTGAGCAATAAATGGGTGTACAGAATCAAAGAGGAACATGATGGTTCCAAGAGATACAAGGCCAGATTGGTGGTTAAAGGATTTCAGCAGAGAGAAGGAGTTGATTACACAGAGATCTTCTCTCCAGTAGTCAAACTGACTACCATCAGAACAGTCCTGAGTATTGTTGCAGCTGAAAATCTACATCTCGAGCAGCTAGATGTAAAGACAGCTTTCCTCCACGGTGATCTAGAAGAAGAGATATATATGCAGCAGCCAGAGGGGTTTACTCAGAAGGGAAAAGAGAAGATGGTATGCAGATTGAAGAAGAGCTTGTACGGCCTAAAACAAGCTCCAAGGCAATGGTACAAAAAGTTTGA